ATATGTAACAAATACACTTTTGCTAAGAGCCCGAATTGCTGTGGAATGCAACTACAGTGGTGCCTCGCAAGACGAAATTAATCCGTTCCGCGAGTCTCTTCGTCTTGCGGTTTTTTCATCTTGCGAAGCATGGCTATTAGCGGCTTTAAGAAAAAGGAAACAAACTCGCAAGAACTTGCAAGACATTTCGTCTTGCGAAGCAAGCCCATAGGGAAATTCGTCTTGCGGAACGACTCAAAAAACGGAAAACTCTTTCGTCTAGCGAGTTTTTCGTCTTGCGAGGCATTCGTCTTGCGGGGCACCACTGTACTAGCAATGAGCTTTTCCTGTTCATCCTTCCTAAAAGAAGTAAATGTTGGCCACCCCTCATATTTTCTGCTAGTCAGAGTGTTGCTGCTGATCTCAGCAGAGTTAAGGTATGTTAAGTTCATTATTAATGTCCAGAAACTGTTAAACTGGAAATTCCATTAAATACAGAAATTGTCCTAAGCAGTAACAGTTCCGTTGACATGGTAATAAGATCAAGACTGTGTTTTTCAGGATTATAAATCTTTTCCTTCTTGTTATTTGAGCGGTTTGCTCGCTGTGTAGTTTGCCAGGCCAGTCTTAGGCTGGTGTCACACCACTACAGCAACACATGGTGCTGTAGTCACCTCATGTTGTGTCCCTGCCCAAGTATAATTGGGACAAAAAGCAGGTTATAGGGACAGAATGAGAGAAGCAGGCAGAACAAGAGGCTTCTAAAACCCTAGCACAAAATTGTGCATACTGAGTGCTGAGAGTCAGCACAATAAAGGCTTGTGTGGTACCATTTCTTGTAGGACGTTGAATCATTTTACACCAGTGCAGGTATGAAAAAACATATATGAAGCAATAGGTCCTAGAGAGTAAAAGATACAAGACAGATGCCTTTTTAGTGAGCATTCTTCTGGTGTGAGTTTGCCAGTTAACAATTAGAGAACAATATTTTTCTCTTAAGCCAGGGTGTTTCTGTAACTCGAAAGCTTGCATGCTCTTAAAAGGAATGTTGTTGTTGTTGTTTAGTCGTTTAGTCATGTCCAACTCTTCGTGACCCCCTGGACCAGAGCACGCCAGGCACTCCTGTCTTCCACTGCCTCCCGCAGTTTGGTCAAACTCATGTTTGTAGCTTCGAGAACACTGTCCAACCATCTCGTCCTCTGTCGTCCCCTTCTCCTTGTGCCCTCCATCTTTCCCAACATCAGGGTCTTTTCCAGGGAGTCTTTTCGAATAGGTTTGATTAAATATATAGATAGAACATTTGACCATGTGATGCCACTTTGTCCGTTGGGAGGAAAAAGGTAGTTCTTCCATTGGAGCTGGAAGCAGAATCATGCACAGGGCAGTATGAATTCTAGGATTGTCCCTGTGATTCTAAGACTTTATAACAGAACTGCTATCCTTCGCATAGTTGCTCTTATGCAGCTGTTGAAGATTTGAGCAGGAACTTTGCCTGTGTCAAGGAGGAAAAGCTAGAAAGCACATTAAAACAGCATTTGAAGTCACGATAAAATAGTACAAGTCCCACTGGAATTTAAGCCTGCTGTTAAAAAAAGAAACACCTGCCATTTCTCTTGAAACTGTTGGTTTCACTTCCTGAAAGTCCTATGGATTTTTGAAACCCCAAACCACTGATGATTGGTTCTGTCTCAGATTTAGGAAGCAGGTAGTTGATGCGGTTAATATTATACCGCTTGATGAAGCTCTTATCTTCCTTAAACTCTTAGCCTTCCTCTGAGTCTGTAAAGCAGCAGTTGTTTTAAAAGCAAGTAGTGTTCACGTACTGGGGTGGGAGGTGGGGGATCCAACTAAGCAAATACATTTGCTTTGCTAATGTTTACTTCTTCAGTCATTTGTACAAGAAATTGTTCCTGACATAAGCTAAACTTGTCGTTTTGTCGTGTCCGACTCTTCGTGACCCCTGGACCAGAGCACGCCAGGCACTCCTGTCTTCCACTGCCTCCCGCAGTTTGGTCAGACTCATGTTGGTAGCTTCGAGAACACTGTCCCACCATCTCGTCCTCTGTCATCCCCTTCTCCTTGTGCCCTCCGTCTTTCCCAGCATCAGGGTCTTTTCCAGGGAGTCTTCTCTTCTCATGAGGTGGCCAAAGTATTGGAGCCACAGCTTCAGGATCTGTCCTTCCAGTGAGCACTCAGGGCTGATTTCCTTCAGAATGGATAGGTTTGATCTTCTTGCAGTCCATGGCTGTCTCAAGTCCATGGGACTCAAGTCCACAGGACTCTTTTAGCCATGGTTTTCTGCCATTTGCTGACAAATTCCTCATTGGTCAAATGTTGGTACAGACCCTTCCCTAGATTAAACACTGAAATCCCGAGCCAATGTTTTAGGGCAGCCCACCACGCTCTAGCTGAAATTGGGCATTCACCAGCTTCCAACAGAAGTACGGAGTTGGGGACGCAGTTAGGTACCTGCAGCAGAGATCGTATAAATTTTGCCTGAAAGCCTTCTAGCTTTGGCAGGTCCCCATTATGCCAGACATTTGCTGCATACAGGAGTTGGGAAATGGGCTTTGCGTTGAAAATCCTTAAGGCTGCTGGAACATATTTGCCGCCCTTTGTGAAGAAGAATCTATGTATGGCTATCTTTGTAATCTCCGCCTTTTGAAGGGAGGTTTGCCTATGGTGCTTCCAAGATCCTGTATGATGGAATGTGAGCCCTAGGTAACTGAAGTATTTTACCTGTTCAAGGTTATGGCCATCCAGCACCCATTTAGACTGGGAGAATCTTCTTTCAAAGACTAAAATTTTAGATTTTTCATAATTAATGGATAAACCATTTCCAGAACAGTAATCAGAAAATTTCCTCAACAGATAATTCAAGCCTGGTCTGGAACGTGAGATGATGGCCGCATCATCAGCATACAACAACAAAGGGGTCCTTCTCATTCCTATTTTTGGAATGTGTCCATCTGGGTCCAAGTTCTCTTCTAGGTCATTTAAGAATAGACAAAACAATGTGGGGGCCAAAATACAACCCTGTCTCACCCCCATAGTCATCTCGATGCTGTTCGATAGCTGTCCCTGTCGACCTCATCGGACCTGCAGTTTGGTTCCATTGTACAGGGCTTTTATAAGAAAGAGAAGAAGTTATATAATATGATGGGTTTTGTGGCCAGTCAAAATCAGCCATTACAACCCTGATGGAAGTGTGATATAAATTACATTATGCCTATTCACACATTGTTAGCCTTTTCCTTTCTGAGCAGTTCTCGCATTTGCACTTAGCAAGTAAGTTTATATTGCTCCTAAGGCGCTCCCTACCATGGCTGTATACTTGCTTCGTATCTCTTGCTTGCCTGCTTTATCTCAGCTGGTTACAATTAAAGCAGTAGTTCAGTTCATATATGCTGAATGTCAGCGTGAATGTTCTCCTGTTTAATTAACTTCTCGCATGATCCAGGGATGTGTTGACAACCACTTTACACTGAACTTGAGAGATACCAACATCTTTAAATGCAGTAGGTGAAATGCAAAAGCTGCAAACATGCCAGCTACGGATAATTCTCTTGCATATCTAGAAATAGCACTGCATACATTTTCACTTTGACAACCTCCTGTAATTCTCTGCAAAGTGGCAGCAGCTATCGCAATGGCATAGGAGTAAGTGAGAAAGTCAATTTTATTGTATGTAGCCAAAGGCCTTTACATTGGACGACAGAGAATAAAAGGGAAAACCTTCTTCTAAAATCATACAATGTAACCTGTAGCAGTTTACAACATAAAAAGGAAATTTACAACATTAGATTTTAAAACTGGAGTGCATTCACATAGCTGGAACGGAGCTTCTTGGCTGCCGGTGCAAATTTGGCTACCTGGCTACCTATATAGATGTTTCTCTGGTAGGAGTTCAACTGTCACTTCCTGTGTGGATTGACCTGGAAGCCAGCTAACAATTGGTGCAGATTGCATGTGATGACCTCTACCTGATTGTATCCATTTATACATTTGCAATCCATATGGGGAATTTCCCGATATTTCCCCTCTAAATATGCCAAGGAATCTTAGTTCTACAAAGGCCCTGCATAGTTATGGGAAGGTCAGAGTCTCAAGGTAATGGGGCCTTGAGTGATTGGCCTTAATTTGAGGGTACCAAGTTAGAGGAACAGGTGGCAATGATGGTTGCTTGGTTGGCATCCTGGTCAAAAATCCAATTTCTAAGGCCACATGATTAAGGGGTGTTCTTTTTCAGAAGGTCAGTGGTTCGAATCCCCGTGACAGGGTGATCTCCCGTTGCTCTGTCCCAGCTCCTGCCAACTTAGCAGTTCAAAAGCACACCAGTTCAAATAAATAGGTACCGTTGTGGCGGGAAGGTAAATGGCATTTCCGTGCGCTCTGGTTTCCATCACGGTGTGCCGTTGCACCATAAGCAGTTTAGTCCTGCTGGCCACATGACCCAGAAAGCTGTCTGTGGACAAACGCTGGCTCCCTCGGCCTGAAAACGAGTTGAGTGCCACAACCCCATAGTCGCCTTTGACTGGACTTAACTGTCCAGGGGTCCTTCACCTATTGTTTTCTGTGACTAGTCAACTACAATTTATTAGCAATTAGAGTATCCTTAAATATTATTACTCTTTCAAGTAAAAGCATTTGTTAAGAAAGCAAATGGTTAATCGAATAGGAATTGTGTGTTTCTTGCAGGGACGATCACTTCTGCGGATGAAATGCAACCTTTCTAAGCTAAATATATTATTCAGACCTGATATCTCCAATATATGTTATAGGTACATCTCCTTTGTGAAAATGCAAAAAAGTGTTTTTATTAGCCCCTATTGGCTTTTGGAATACTCTTTAGTGCCAGCTAGTGGGAATAGATAGCAATTTCAGTTCTGTTGCGGGATGCTTATGAGCCCAAGATGACCAAGCACGAAGGTGAATAAATGCATTTTATTTAGATAGCGGATATTCACTCCACCATTTGAGCATGAATGGGATTTTTCTTTTCTGCTTCTATTTTAATACAGGCTCTTGATGGGAATGTATGTGATCACCTTAAGGATTATTTAATGGCATTCAGCAGGACTGAATTAGAAGTATGCCAAGCTGTACAAAGCACATTCCAGTTTCTTTTGGAAACTTCCAGTCGGGTAAGTTTTTCAGCAAACTAGTTTTTTTGTCTGTGTTCCAAAATAGTTGTGACAGGGTGGGCCCTGTGACCTTTTTTTCGAAAATGGGAGGAGCCTGAAGAGGTCACAACCAGGGAAGTAGAATACTGCACCACCACAGTGTTAATACTAGCCACCATGAAAAGGGGGGGGGCAGAGAGGCCAGCATTATGGAGATGGCCAGCGCTTGGTAAGGTAGTGATTTAACACTTAATAGTGAGCTTTAAATGCAGGAAGTCTGAGGTTCTGTCCGTGGTGTCAGTTAAACATCTATGGTGGCAGAGCTGAGAGACATGTCTTCCTGCAACAGAGGATAACTGCTGCCAACCAGATTAAGCGCTGGCTGGCTGGCGCAGTGGCCTGAATCTATATAAGGCAGTTTCATATACCTGGGAATAATTCGGAGCAAAAACCTGACACCACCACCTCCTACTCCATTTCTTACAACAGGGATGTCCAACAGGTCAATCGCGATCTACTGGTAGCTCCCTGTGAGGTTTTGGTGGATTGCAGTCGATTGCTGGCTCCCTTTCGTTAGCGGTGGTAAAATCTGGCTCAACTTTGACCTGAACCCCTAAAAAAAGGGACTTTCCTCCCTAAAAAAAGACAACAACTTTGCCCTGAACCCTTAAAAAAATGGGACTTCCTAAAAAAAAATGCAAGAGCTTTGAACTGAACCCCCCAAAAATGGGGTAGATCACTGCCAGTTTTTTATTCTGTGAGTAGATCGCAGTCTCTTAGGAGTTGGCCTTCCCTGTCTTACAACAATAGCATTATCCCTTTGATTTGGAGCTCTGCACTGTTATCAGAGTTGGCCTGGAATTCTCCAAGTATAGTTGAAAGCAGTTACAAGTTCTGTAACTGTTTACAGTGCAGTTACAATGCTGCTTGAGTAATATTTTGCAGCATTGGTTTTTCCTAGGGTATGTTTATATAGTCTCCCTTAGCTGGCAGTTTCAATCCATCAAATGGATTTATCCATTACGCATCCCCTCTACTCTGTCCAATCACCTCTGCACAGGACTGTAGTTGTACAGGCCACCCAGGCCAACTGGAGGAATCCACATAAGACTTTATCTGCATTGCATTTGATACTGATGTGGTTAATCCACCCTTGCTGTCTGTGAAATGTCTGGATATCCCAAGCTCATGATGGTTTAATCCGGCTTCTCTAGTCTCTTCATAAGCCTTTTGACTTTCTGATACTACATTTCACTCTTAATGTTCTGCGGTTTCTAAAAATAGAGATATAAATAACAGACACTTACAACTCCAACCCAATTTACAGAGTTTTAAGAATTAAAATACACCCTGATAAAGATGCCGCACACTATTGAGCAGGTGGCTGCATTGGATTCTGGGATCATATATGCCTTCTTAAGTTTTCTGAGTAACGTTCCCGTTTAAGATCAATATGCATTCCAGCCATCAGGCATCTACAAATCCTGTGTACATTGCAATTGTATACAAATTGAGAGCCAGTGTGGTGTGGTGGTTAAGAGCGGTAGACTCGTAATCTGGTGAACCGGGTTCGCTTCCCTGCTCCTCCACCTGCAGCTGCTGGGTGACCTTGGGCTAGTCACACTTCTCTGAAGTCTCTCAGCCTCACTCAACTCACAGAGTGCTTGTTGTGGGGGAGGAAGGGAAAGGAGAATGTGAGCCGCTTTGAGACTCCTTTGGGTAGTGATAAATCGGGAGATCAAATCCAAACTCTTCTTCTTCTTCTTCTTCTTCTTCTTCTTCTTCTTCTTCTTCTTCTTCTTCTTCTTCTTCTTCAATTGCAAATTGCCAGTTTGCTGCTGGGCCAGGTTTGAGGAATTTACATTAATTCAAAAATCCCTAAACAACTTGGACCCAGAGTACCTTAAGGATGGCCTGGTTCCAAAAGCTCCAACTTGAAAGGCTGAGATCCTGTGATCAGGCACGTCTTGTGTTTTCCCTTGTGGCCCCCCAAGGTTCAACTGGTCTTCACTCAGGGCCAAACTTTCAGTGTGGCAGGCTCAGCTCTTTTGAACCCCCTACCACTAAAGGTTGGGCAGGGACCGTGTCTCCCTTTCTGCATATGTCCTGTGAAAACTTTTTTTGTTTAGACAGGCCTTTACAAAATGTTTTTGTGTTTTTTTTAAATAAGTACAGTGGTGCCTCACAAGACGAAATTAATTCGTTCCGCGAGTCTTGCCGACTTGCGATTTTTTTCGTCTTGCGAAGCACGGCAGTGGCGTAGCGTGGGTTGTCAGCACCCAGGGCAAGGCAAGTAATTTGCGCCCCCTAACCCGTGGATTTGCCCTAACCCCAGATGTTGCGCCCGGTGCGGCCGCCCCCCCTGCACCCCCCCACGCTACGCCACTGAAGCACGGTGTCGGGAAAGTTTTGGAAAAGCTTCAAAAACCACCAAAGTCTTTAAAAACCTCAAAAAAGGCTACCACACTGCATGCTATGAGTTGCTCCTTGAAGTCAAGTCGCAACTGTATTAACGGTGTTAAGAAAAAGGAAACAAACTTGCAAGACGTTTCCGTCTTGCGAAGCAAGCCCATAGGGAAAATCGTCTTGCGAAGCCAAAACAAAAAACCCTTTCGTCTAGCGAGCTTTTTGTCTTGCAAGGCATTCATCTTGCGAGGTACCACTGTATTCATTGATGTTTTATTGGTATTTTAAATGATGCTCTTACAGCATCTTTGTTGATTTCGTTTTAAATGTTGTTTACTGCACCTTGCAGACCTTCTGGTGTTGGCTTAACTATTGCAGTGTTACAGTTTCTTCAGTTTTTCTGTCTCACACATTCTCTCTTTAATATCAGGGATTAAATGCCTGTAAATGTATTCATTGTCTCTTTCAGGTAGTGCGAGATTACAATTTTCAGCTGTTCTTGCAGGAGAACTCCGTATTTCATAAACCACAGTCCTTCCAGTTCCAGCCTTGTGACAGTGACACCGTAAGGGCATTTTAAAAAATACATTAATTCCACTCCTTTGTTCAATGCTTTGAATGAGCCACAATCCAGGGAAGCTGCTTTGGTAAGGGGAACAAGGTCTACGTGCAAATAAATTGCCGTGTGCAGTTGTCTGCCTGGGCATGACCCAAGAAATTCTAAAATCCATACTTCTGCGGGGAGAAACACACTGATGTGCTGTCCAAGAGTTTTGCAACCTCGCATTGCCTTTTTAAGCCTTTCTTCAGCAGACAGGGAACACTGGATTGTGACCCAGGTGTGCTAAGGTGCGCTGAGTCAGGTGTGCTAAGCCTGTTAAAAGGAGTGGCCTCAAGTGCAAATAGTTGCTTTGGACAACAGCAAAATTTATTGAGTGCTACCCCTTTTCAAGGGACGCGGGTGGCGCTGTGGCGTTAACCACTGAGCCTAGGGAGGTTGGCGGTTCGAATCCCCGTGATGGGGTGAGCTCCCGTTGCTCGGTCCCTTCTCCTGCCAACCTAGCAGTTTGAAAGCACGCCAAAAAGTGCAAGTAGATAAATAGGTACCACTCTGGTGGGAAGGTAAATGGCGTTTCCGTGCTTCTCCGGTTTCGCCATAAGTGGCTTAGTCCCGCTGTCCACATGACCCGGAAAAACTGTCTGCAGACAAACATCGGCTCCCTTGGCCAGTAAAGCGAGATGAGTGCCACAACCCCAGAGTCGTTTGCGACTGGACTTAACTGTCAGGGGTCCTTTACCTTTCTACCCCTTTTCGAACATTCAGATCCTATGAGTGGTAGGAGATTGGGATTATACCAACCTACCCCACTCAGGGTGTATCTTCCTCACCCGATACTGCACATTCAACTTAATATATCCATAGGGACCTTGGTGTCTAGAGCCCAGCACGAGTTCTTCCTGTTGGCCCCACACAAAACTGAGCTGTACAATAGATTGTATTCTATTCGTGCCATTCCCTATGTCCAACATGCAAATGTTGTATGGGGTAAATGCATGATGAAAGGTGAGGCCGGACGGCGCAGTCCCATCCCCTCCCACATGTAGGATTTGAGCAGTTGCACTGGTGGGTTAAGAATTTGAAGCTTATTAAGACATCTGTTCATTTAGACACATTTTTAGAGTATGGTAGCAGAAGGTCTGGGACGTGGGTGGCGCTGTGGGTTAAACCACAGAGCCTAGGACTTGCCGGTCAGAAGGTCGGCGGTTTGAATCCCTGTGATGGGGTGAACTCCTGTTGCTCGGTCCCTGCTCCTGCCAACCTAGCAGTTCGAAAGCACGTCAAGGTGCAAGTAGATAAATAGGTACCGCTGCGGCGGGAAGGTAAACGGCATTTCCATGCGCTGCTCTGGTTCGCCAGAAGCGGCTTAGTCATGCTGGCCACATGACCCGGAAGCTGTACGCCGGCTCCCTCGGCCAATAAAGTGAGATGAGCGCCGCAACCCCAGAGTCGGCCACGAGTCCCTTTACCTTTACCTAGCGGAAGGTCTAATTAATCTTTGCAACTGTACAACAAAGCTCTGTAACCGATCCCAGTGTTTTCCTTGCCTTGTGTGTTTTCCTTGTGTGTGGTCAGCCCTTGCTTATTGCCCTTTTTTAAGGTTTTAGGTCCTCAAAAAAGCTTCCTAAATTAATTATTTTATGTTGAGAATAATTCATAAATACAGGGGAGGCTGGGAGGGGTTTTGTAAAAATTTATCGTGTTTTAAGAAATGGTTGATCGTACTGTCTCCCCAAATATTTGCAGAGGTTCACATTAAGCAAATAGCTCATCAGGTGGCTAAAGAGCAATTTTCTCTGCTTCTTACACCAAGGTAATAGAAAGTTCCAATTTAAGCAAAGTGTAAGTTGTTGTTTTTTTAAAAAAGGGCCTTTCTTTTTGCAGATTTTTGATAAACCATAGTTAGCAAGGGGGACGGGATCTGGGTCTGTGCTGCATTAGGGGAAAGGCAGATAAAAACTGGGGAAGCCTTGTTAAAAAGCAACAAACTTGCCCTTGAAATTCAGATGTTTTCTAACTTCATCCTCAACAAAAGATAAGTTAATTTTATATCTCTGACTTCCCAAGCGCATTGTTTACATCAAGTCCAAGGGTATATAAAAGGCAGTGGGCTGAGTTTTCCCTGACTAACCATATTTGCCTAATTGTGTTTGCCTTGCAGTTCTAACTGGTGTGTGTGTGTGTATGTGTTTGTGTGTGTGTGTGTTTTGTCCTTGTGCAACCTTTGACATTCAGAGTTTTAATGCCGTTCAGCTGGTGGATATTGAGCCTTCACCTGTCAGTGCTCTGAGAATGACCTTAGTAGAGGTATATGGCAGCATCTGCTCTCACCATTTACTGTCTCGTGGTATTGCTGATATGCATGATGACAAGGACTGTTATGGTGCAATCTGCTTCCATGCATAAAGTGACAAACGAATGCATAACGCGTTAAAAACCAGATTCCTACTGTCAAGATCTCAGAACTGAATTCTCAGAGGCCTGCTTAACTTTACTGGAGCAAACAGCGCACAATTTATAATAATTCGGAATTTTGAAGTGAGATGTCAATGCACCATCTGATATCTAGAGTAGCTTTACATAATCCTGTGACAAGAAGTGCCCCCTTCAGCTCCATGTACCCTTCTGGGAAAGTGGAATAAAACTATGGGTATCTTACCATACTCTTGATTTCAGTTAAACTAATTAAGATATTTATATGTCATTTTTCTGCCTTAATTGCTAAAGCGCCCGAGGCTGCATACTTCAGCAGCAGCAGCAAACAAATATTATTAAGATAACAGAGGACAGCAGACAAAAATAATTCATCTGCTAGGACATCCTTCCCCAACCTGCTGCCCTCCAGATGAACTACAACTTCTGTCATCCCTGACCATTGCCCATGCTGCCTGGGATCAGTGCGAGTTGTAGTGCAAAACATCTGGAGGGCACCAGATTGAGGAAGGCTGCCCAAGGGATTAAAATACCTTCAGCTGTGGCCAAAAGCCATCTTGAACAATAGTCATCGAGTGGTGCCTGGTGCAAGGTATTGCACAGAAAATGCCCTCTTAAGCACCCCATTTAACTTCATCTTTGAAGGTACAGTGACATACAGAAGGCCCCGTAATTAACTTGTCCTAATCTTCAAGGGACGTGGGCGGCACTGTGGGTTAAACCACAGAGCCTAGGACTTGCTGCTCAGAAGGTCAGCGGTTCAAATCCCCGTGACGGGGTGAGCTCCCGTTGCTCGGTCCCTGCTCCTGCCAACCTAGCAGTTCAAAAGCACGTCACAGTGCAAGTAGATAAATAGGTACCGCTCCAGCGGGAAGCTAAACGGCGTTTCCGTGCAGTGCTCTGGTTCGCCAGAAGCGGCTTAGTCATGCTGGCCACATGACCCGGAAGGTGTATGCCGGCTCCCTCGGCCAGTAAAGCGAGATGAGCGCCGCAACCCCAGAGTCGCCCACGACTGGACCTAATGGTCAGGGGTCTCTTTAACTTTAATCTTAAGGGGCCAGGTAAAGGATTGGGTACAGAGCTCAGTTAGCCCCCCCCCCAAAGATGCAGGAGCTTCAAGCTGTAGTGTAGGCTCCATTATTGAACCAGTACAAATGTATTCAGATACAGTACTTGAATTTTTTCTTTGGTTTTCATTATACTGAAGTTGACATAAAAGCAAGACAAGCCTTGTTTTGCTTTTCCAAAAGCACGTGTCACAAAATTGGATGCAGGAAACTGATAGTGGGGTCCTTATTTCTATCAGTCCACGTAGCCAGTGTTTCATTTTTGGCCATTTTCTTTCCTACTAAATTTCATCCCGCAAGTCAGTCTTTGGATAATACTCAAAACCAGGAAATCTATATTTTTCTATTCGTTAACAATCCTTGAAGTAGGGGTAAAAACATGCAACTGTTATGCATTTTAGTCACTTCATTTCCATTTTGTGTTGGAGCTGTTTGGCGCAAGTAGCTTTTTCATGGGATATGCATGATTATTTTCAGTGGGCAAGCTGTGCAGTGAACATTACGGAGTAATCAGCTGATCTGAACTAAAATCAAGACTTCCCCCCCCCCCCCGATCAACGACTAATTTTTCAATCAAATAAATAGTTCCGCAGAACTTGGGTGCCTCTTCCGAGAGAGGTTTCAGTTGCTTAATTACAGAGCAGGGAGAGATAGGGGCATATGCAGTCTAACATTTATAGCTGTTCAACTGCTGTGCCATTTTTCTGCTTGGAATAATTCAGCATGTTTTCAGGGTGCGAGTGAGAAGCCGGCTGTCTCTTGGGAGGGTTAGTGAAGTCGCCTACCCAGTATAACACCTTCAGCCACCGAACACATGTAAAAGGGGGTCAGTAATAGAGGCAGGCGACTCTCTTGCTTCCAACAGAGAGTTGTTGCTTATTTTACCATACAGCTTCTGATCCAGCTCCCTGTACAACAGCTAGCAGAAGGTGAAATTTCAACACACAGCCATTCTCAACTTGCCGGATTATCCCAATCACTTTGTACAGGGCAGGTGTATCCCCAGTTGACACTCCTACAAGATTATCCGCCAACATTTGCATAGTGCTGGGACTCGGTAAAGAATTGAGAACCTGCCCTGGTCACGTAAATTACTGGCTATGGAACATTGGGTTCCCACCCAACCGTCGTGCTACCCTTTGAAGGAGGATGATAGATCACGTTTGAATGTTGTGGTACAAAGCTACACAATCCAGGAGAGGCTAAAGGAGAATCTGAGTGTTGTGATTAAAAAGGATAAGACTTTGTCTTGAGGCCGAGGTTGGGGAATTGGAGGGTGGAGGCATAGCAAATAACAGAAGACAGTGGGAAGAGCAATGGAGGGGAACAAAAATGGGCGAGATCAGAGGCTTAAAGGAGGTGGCTTTAACTTAGCAATGGGGTGAGTGGGGTTTGATCAAATTTTGTTAAAAGCAAATGGACTAAAATCAAATCCGAACCACAAAGCTGTCAGCAGGCAAGGTAAACTTCTTAATCAGAAGTTCCCCCAAACTGCAGTGCACAGAG